AAAATTGGTCCGAAGTTGGGGTCCGACATCCTACCCCACCCTAACTTTCAAAGTTAATAAAAAAATGTCTACGGCAATAATTTTTTTCCACACTAGGTGCAAATGAAAGTTAGGACCAATAGGCATGCTTGATTAAAAAATCCAGGTGGGGTATAGCACGGATTTTTTTAAAAATTGGTCCGAAGTTGGGGTCCGACACCCTACCCCACCCTAACTTTCAAAGTTAATATAAACATCACTACGGCAATAATTTTTTCCACACTTAGTGTAAATGAAAGTGAGGACCCGTAGGCATGCTTGACTAAAATATCCAGGTGGGGTTTAGCACGGATTTTTTTTTTAAAAATAGGTCAAAATTTGGGGTCCGACACCCTACCCCACCCTAATTTTCAAAGTTAATAAAAAAAGTTCTACCTCAATAATTTTTTCCACACTAAGTGCAAATGAAAGTTGGGACCCATAGACATGCTTGACTAAAACATCCAGGTGGGGTATAGCACGGATTGTTTTTAAAAATTGGTCCAAAGTTGGGGTCCGACACCCTACCCCACCCTAACTTTCAAAGTTAATATAAATTCTCTTACGACAATACTTTTTTCCACACTAGGTGCAAAAGAAAGTTGGGACCCTTAGGCAAGCTTTACTAAAAATTCCAGGTGGGGTATAGCACGGATTTTTTTTTAAAAATTGGTCCGAAGTTGGGGTCCAACACCCTACCCCACCCTAACTTTCAAAGTTAATAAAAAGATGTTTACGGCAATAATTTTTTCCACACTAAGTGCAAATGAAAGTTGGGACCAATAGGCATGCTTGACTAAAAAATTCAGGTGGGGTATAGCACGGATTTTTTTAAAAATTGGTCCGAAGTTGGGGTCAGACACCCTACCCCACCCTAACTTTCAAAGTTAATAAAAATTCTCCTACGGCAATACTTTTTTCCATACTAGGTGCAAATGAAAGTTGGGACCCATAGGCATGCTTGACTAAAAAATTCAGGTGGGGTATAGAACGGAGTTTTTAAAAAATTGGTCCGGAGTTGGGGTCCGACACCCTACCCTGCCCTAACTTTCAAAATTAATAAAAATTTTCCTACGGCAATACTTTTTTCCATACTAGGTGCAAATGAAAGTTGGGACCCGTAAGCATGGTTTACTTAAAAATCCTGGTGGGGTATAGCACGGTTTTTTAAAAAAAATTGGTCCGAAGTTGGGGTCCGACACCCTACCCCACCCTATCTTTCAAAGTTAATAAAAAAAATGTCTACTGCAATAATTTGTTCCACACTAGATGCAAATGAAAGTTGGGACCCATAGGCATGCTTGACTAAAAAATCCAGGTGGGGTATAGCACGGATTTTTTTTTTTAAATTGGTCAAAAGTTGGGACCCGGCACCCTACCCCACCCTAACTTTCAAAGTCAATAAAAATTTTCCTACGGCAATACTTTTTTCCATACTAGGTGGAAATGAAAGTTGGGACCCTTAAGCATGGTTTACTAAAAAATCCAGGTGGGGTATAGCACGGATTTTTTTTTAAATTGGTCAAAAGTTGGGGTCCGACACCCTACCCCACCCTAACTTTCAAAGTTATTAAAAAAATTTCTACGGCAATAATTTTTTCCACACTAGGTGCAAATGAAAGTTGGGACCCATAGGCATGCTTGACTAAAAAATCCAGGTGGGGTATAGCACGGATTTTTTTTAAAATTGGTCCGAAGTTGGGGTCCGACACCCTACCCCACCCTAACTTTCAAAGTTAATAAAAAAATGTCTACGGCAATAATTTTTTCCACACTTAGTGTAAATGAAAGTGAGGACCCATAGGCATGCTTGACTAAAATATCCAGGTGGGGTATAGCACGGATTTTTTTTTTTTAAATAGGTCAAAAGTTTGGGTCCGACACCCTACCCCACCCTAATTTTCAAAGTTAATAAAAAAAGTTCTACGGCAATAATTTTTTCCACACTAAGTGCAAATGAAAGTTGGGACCCAAAGGCATGCTTGACTAAAACATCCAGGTGGGGTATAGCACGGATTGTTTTTAAAAATTGGTCCAAAGTTGGGGTCCGACACCCTACCCCACCCTAACTTTCAAAGTTAATATAAATTCTCTTACGGCAATACTTTTTTCCACACTAGGTGCAAAAGAAAGTTGGGACCCTTAGGCATGCTTGACTAAAAAATCCAGGTGGGGTATAGCACGGATTTTTTTTTAAAATTGGTCCGAAGTTGGGGTCCAACACCCTACCCCACCCTAACTTTCAAAGTTAATAAAAAAATTCTACGGCAATAATTTTTTCCTTACTAGGTGCAAATGATAGTTGGGATCCATAGGCATGCTTGACTAAAAAATCCAGGTGGGTATAGCACGGATTTTTTAAAAATTGGTCCGAAGTTGGGGTCCGACACCCTACCCCACCCTAACTTTCAAAGTTAATAAAAATTTTCCTACGGCAATACTTTTTTCCATACTAGGTGCAAATGACAGTTGGGACCCATAGGCATGCTTGACTAAAAAAAAACAGGTGGGGTATAGCACGGATTTTTTAAAAAATTGGTCCGAAGTTGGGGTCCGACACCCTACCCCACCCTAACTTTCAAAGTTAATAAAAAAAATTTTACGGCAATAATTTTTTCCTTACTAGGTGCAAATGATAGTTGGGATCCATAGGCATGCTTGACTTAAAAATCCAGGTGGGTATAGCACGGATTTTTTAAAAATTGGTCCGAAGTTGGGGTCCGACACCCTACCCCACCCTAACTTTCAAAGTTAATAAAAATTTTCCTACGGCAATACTTTTTTCCATACTAGGTGCAAATGAAAGTTGGGACCCATAGGCATGCTTGACTAAAAAAAACCAGGTGGGGTATAGCACGGATTTTTTTAAAAATTGGTCCGAAGTTGGGGTCCGACACCCCACCCCACCCTATCTTTCAAAGTTAATAAACAAATTTCTACGGCAATAATTTTTTCCACACTAAGTGCGAATGAAAGTTGGGACCCATAGGCATGCTTGACTAAAAAATCCAGGTGGGGTATAGCAAGAATTTATTTAAAAAATTGGTCCAAAGTTGGGGTCTGACACCCTACCCCACCCTAACTTTCAAAGTTAATAAAAATTTTCCTACGGCAATACTTTTTTCCATACTATGTGCAAATGAAAGTTGGGACCCTTAGGCATGCTTGACTAAAAAATCCAGGTGGGGTATAGCACGGATTTTTTTTTTAAATTGGTCCAAAGTTGGGGTCCGACACCCTACCCCACCCTAATTTTCAAAGTTAATAAAAATTCTCCGACGGCAATACTTTTTCTACACTAGGTGCAAAAGAAAGTTGGGACCCTTAGGCATGCTTGACTAAAAAATCCAGGTGGGGTATAGCACGGATTTTTTAAAAAAATTGGTCCGAAGTTGGGGTCCGACACCCTACCCCACCCTATCTTTCAAAGTTAATAAAAAAAATGTCTACTGCAATAGTTTGTTCCACACTAGATGCAAATGAAAGTTGGGACCAATAGGCATGCTTGACTAAAAAATCCAAGTGGGGTATTGCACGGATTTTTTTTAAATTTGGTCCGAAATTGGGGTCCGACACCCTACCCCACCCTATCTTTCAAAGTTAATAAGAAAATTTCTACGGCAATAATTTTTTCCACACTAGGTGCAAATGAAAATTGGGACCCTTAGGCATGCTTGACTAAAAAATCCAGGTGGGGTAAAACACGGATTTTTTTTTAAATTGGTCCAAAGTTGGGGTCCGACACCCTACCCCACCCTAACTTTCAAAGTTAATAAAAATTTTCCTACGGCAATACTTTTTCCATACTAGGTGCAAATGAAAGTTGGGACCCATAGGCATGCTTGACTAAAAAATCCAGGTGGGGTATAGCACGGTGTTTATTTCAAATTGGTAAAATAGCTAATTAGTAATGTCCTTGCACACCATACTTTGATTACTGAAAATAAACCCTGCGTGTCATAAAAAACTAATCGAAACCCACTGTTACAGAAAGAGAATAATTAGCGAAAACTGATTTTTCTGACATGAAATTATTTAAGTACGAACGCAAATTTGTATTCTTGTAGCGTAGAAATATTGTTACTTTTAAGGAACTATTTTACAGGATGCCGAGAATATAGAAAGCTATTTCACACAATATCGCACTAATATTCTGATGGAAAAATCGATTCCATGTAACAAGAAAAATTTGCCAACATTTAAATAATTTTATTTTTTTTAGTGTTGACAGTTGAAGTCTTAAAGCATGCAGCATATGCATGATGTTAAAAGCACATACTATTGTTTTTAAAATATTGAACAGGAAATGAAATTTCAAAATTTTTGAATAGTGTTTTCGACTTCTAAATTCAAGATAAAACAGATATTGTAGTGGTTATATAAAATAAAAACGTTTTAGTAAGTTTTGGGTTTATAGACATCTGACAACTGGCTGCTAGCGGAGTAGCTGCTAGCGAGTGGCTGCTAGCTTGAGTCTAGCGGTGTGCCGAGTAGATCAATAATTGGATTTCATTTTTTTGTTTTTCAATTTTGATCCCAAATTTGGATGTCTCAACACTAGACTGTTGACTCTCAATTATCAATTATAAACATTTATCTAACATTTCTATTTGATATTGTCATTTTGTTCTTTCACAGATCAAAGAAGCGTTTAAAGATAAGTAATTCTCCATCAGTAATTTGTCCATATTTCTTTTTTCGGGATTTAACAAAAATATTATCAATAAAATCTAAAATAAATTCATTACAATTCATTTCTCAACTGCATGTAACACCTAGAAATACTTAAATCAAGAAAATAAATTGGTATTATTTCTAAAATTCTTTTAATAAAGGAATTAGTAATTCAAAGTAGCATCCAATTTCATGTTTTTTTTTAAATGTCAAAATCACTAACAGTTGACACATTTCCTTCTTGTCCTCTTCTTGTTCATCCACACTTACATGGCATGGTGTGTTTACAACAAACAATTAAAACATACCTTTTTAGTCTGCTACAAGTCATTGAATAATTTTTATGTACGTGTAGAAATAATACCAAGAGAAAAAACATACACTGTAAAGCCATCCCCAAGCAGATAATAAGGAAATAATGCCAATATATTTGCCATGTACACTTATTTTACAGGAAGTCAAAATTCATTCAATCATAGCCTATCAATTTATAAATCGTTATTATTTCCTTATAATAATTAAAATTCATAATTTCTGCGATATTGAACGTGTATATATATATGTGTACAACTGCCAGTTCTATGTTTACTTCATATGTGGATTTCATTCCAATTCTGCTGCTTAAAATTAGTATTTATTCATATGAAACGAAACATATGAAACATATTCCATCCGTTTGACTTCACGTTACTAGCAGCACACTTTTATTGGCTCTTGAACTAGCTTGCAGTAGCTGCAAGTACTCTCAAATGAAGTTTGTTGTTTCTCGTTGCACGTAACAAAATCTGATGAGGATTTATCGTAAATTGTTTACTAAGAGTTGTATATAATTCAAACCTGCAATTACCCAATGGGTTTGCAATAAAGAATGAACAAATACTTGCTACATAACAATTTTGCACGTGTTTTTGAAAATAAGGATACTTTTTTTTTAAAAGGTGTTAAGTTATCGAAGTCTTTCTACTTTTATGAACGGTATTTGAACTATTGGAAAGAAAAGATTTTCATTATACGAAATCATTGAATGATAAAAAAAAAAAAGAAAATAAAGATTGGCATACAAAAACTCAAGCATGGTATCCATGAGGAGTTTCTTTTACAAACCATAACCACTGGCTCGATGCCACTGCAGTGCTGGTGGAGGTCTCATAGTCAGCATTTTGTGTTGATATGAATTAGCATTGTTTAGGGTCATAATTATAAATTAACTGTTTATAAACATGACAAACCTTTCAATTTGTCGGAATACTAAGGATTTTCTACCCCACAAATAAATTTTCTTAGCTTTAACAGGCAAAACCTTTCGGAAGTTTGGGTCTTTAATGCTCTTCGTACTTTATTTGGCCTTTTTAACTTTTATGATTTGAGCGCCACTGACAAGTCTTTGCTGAAACAATATAAAGCCTGGTATCTTTGAGGGGTTTATAATCAGCATATACGAGTCGCAAACATAATAAACTAAAAACATGGACAAAAAAGTAATCGCAAGTTTTTACAAAATCCGTAAAAGTAATAGTGTCCTTATATGGGAACAAGGTTGGCATAATAAAACTCCAAAAGATAAGATAATGTGTCGCGTATATCTTTTAGAGGTAGGAGCCAAATTTTAATTCACTGTTTAAGACAATTAGAGAAACGAGATATTTATTAGCCAGCTGTGCAAATGGTTGAAATGAATATTTCATCTGGAAAATATCATCCGACTCTGAAACCTCAATGTACGTCTTCTGAATTTTTACGAGCTCTAAAAACGACATCAACCGAAACAAGTAAGATGTCTTCCCTTTTTTAATAAGGTTAAACAACCAAACTTTGAAACCAAATCTAAATATCTTTGAAAGAATTTAGCAAAGGTTTCACACAAATTAAGGAAACAAAATCCCTAACTTATAATATATGATCAATATAAATAGATAAATGGAACAGTATACTACCGCTGTTCAATAGTCATAAATCGATTCCGGGTTACAAAACAAAACGGAGGGAAACACATCAACTATGAGAGGAAAACAACGGAACAAGAGAAACACTGAACTGCAACAAAAACAAACGCAAACATAATTACATAGAAACGGACTATTCGATAACAACTGCCATATTCCTGACTTGGTACAGGACATTTTAAGAAAAAAAGGTGGGTTGAACCTGGTTTTATGGCAAGCCTACGTTGTGTAAAATCTAAGACTTGACTTTATTTTGAAGTTGTATTTCCAATTGATGGATAAAGGTTCACGAAATTTCGGGCCTTTGAATAACACTTTTTGCAGAGAGTTATTATTGACAATATGTAGATCACCAGTTATAACGTGGCAAACCGTATTATACATGAATGGGGAACTAGCACAGGTACAATCAGGAGGTTTATAATAGCAGTTGTCACAGACCTACACGTTTCAATATGTTATTCGAGGGAAGCAAGTAGTTTCTTTAGAAATACTTACAACCTGTCAATCAACGTGCACTGCCGAAACATACATAAATATATGTTGTTCAGGTGAAAATTAACGGATCCACGTTAATATTCTATTTAGAGATTGCTTTATCTATATATAACATGATACATATTTATTATAAGGTTAAATCCTAACGATCCTACTGCATGTCGATACTTTTATTTTGGCATTGCACAAGTCATGTCTTCTTTGACTGTCCATGGCGTTAATCCACTAAATCCCTGGAGTGTTTTAATTGATTTTAGTCTCTGATGCATGATTTTTTTTTATTGTTAATTGTTTTTTTTTTGCTTTTAACTAGCTTTCAGTAACTGCGAGTACTCTCAAATCGTACTTTCGTGTTAATTTGACCTGTTGACACAATTTGTAATGCATTTCTGAAATTTAATGTTTGCTTATTTTGTGTTATATCTTGACTCACCTTTGATAAGTATTAAGTATGACGATACATTTTAACTTCTGTACTCGTACTCTGAACAACAAATTTATTAACTTTGTAGTACTCCTAACGACAAAATTATTATATTCAAATTTACCTGTGTACATTTGTTTTATTTATGGCCATTTTGTCGCAGGTAAGAGTTGTCTTATTGACACTCATACTACATCTTTTTGATTACGAGCTGTGACGTTTATGTTATATAGGCACCTACGTTTTAATATTATATTTATATTGTGTCATATATGAAACTTATTCGTTCAGTGTATGTTTACTTGTTTTTGTTTAAATGTCTTTTTGATCGAGTTAAGTCATTTCAATTGATATTTTTATAGTGTGTCTTTTTATGTTGTAATGTTACACTACTGTTTCAGATTAGGGAGAAGGTTGGCGCCTGTTAAAACGTTTAAATCCGCTGCATTTTTATGCACCTGTCCTAAGTCAGGAACCTGTTGTTCAGTGGTTGTCGTTTGTTGGTGTGGTTCATAAGTGTTTCTCGTTTCTCGTTTTTTATATAGATTAGACCGTTGGTTTTCCTGTTTGAATTGTTTTACACTAGTCATTTTTGGGCCTTTAAAAGCTTGTTGTTTGGTGTCAGCCAAGACTCCGTGTTGAAGGCTTTGACCTATAACTGTTAACTTTTCATACATTGTGACTTGGATGGAGAGTTGTCTCATTAGCACTCATACCACATCTTCTTATTTATATTAATCATCTCATCACAGTTCCGTTAAGTATATAAAGCATATTGTTCATTACAAAAGAAGAACTTATATGAGATACATATGAGTTACATAAGATAAACTGCATGTGTATTTTCGAAAGAACACTATTATTCACCGAACGTCTGTTTGATAAAAATGTATAGAAATGTCATTAAGGGAGTAGTAAGTATGTACCGTTAAACGAATTAAGAGTTATATTAAATCTAATATATATATATATATATATATGGTATACATCTTTTTTCACCTCATGTCATGTTTGTGGTATACCACCTTTTCCGCAAGTTTATTGTCTTCTGTTTGGTATTAAATTAATATTAAGATCCATTTTGTTTCATCTGGTGATCAATTAATTTGGCAATCGCCAATGGCAGTCAGCAGGGTTTAAGAACATCCGTTGTTCGACCTGTTAGTCAAATGTGTTTTGTTAAAATATACTTTTTCACTTTTTTGATCTTTTGGAAAATGTTGTTTGTGCTGTATTTATACCCCTCTACCAAGAAATTTGTTTTACATACACACGTATAAAAATTGCGGTTTTGATCCAACGCAATCATAGGTTTGAACGTTGTTTTCAAGTTAGACTTGTTTATATTTTTCGTTTGGGCTTGTACTATATTTTCCTTTGGGTTAATATGATCCGTTCATCCTATTTCAACTCTTTAAAATTCAAGAGTCTATCCTAAATTGAGGTAAATTATATGGCCTTCCAAATACCGATTTGCACCTCGTGTTTGCGGTATACCATCTTCTCCGCAAGTTTATTGTTTTCTGTTTGGTATTCAATTAATTATTAAGATCCATGTTTCATCTGGTGATCAATTTATTTGGCAGTCGTCAATGGCAGTCAGCAGGGTTTTAGAACATCAGTTGTTCGACCTGTTAGTCAAATGCGATTTGTTAAAATATACTTTTCACTTTTTTGGTCTTTTGGGAAATGTTGTTTGTGCTGTATTTAGACCCCTCTACCAAGAAATTTGTTTTTACGTGCACACGTATAAAAATTGCGGTGTTTATACAATGCAATCATAGGTTTGAACGTTGTTTTCAATTTAGACTTGTTTATATTTTTTCGTTTGGGCTTGTGTTATATTTTCCTTCGAGTTTATATGTTCCGTTCATCCTATTTCGAGTCTTTAAAATTCAAGAGTCTATTCTAAATTGAGGTAGATTATATGGCCTTACAAATACCGTTTTGATCCCTAACATCACTGAAGAGACAATAATTGTCGAAATCAGGATATGGTGTACCAATTTTGGACCTCATTTTTGCGGTATACCATCTTCTCCGCAAGTTTATTGTTTTCTTTATTGGTATTAAATTAATAATTATGATCCATGTAACATTTCGTCATCAATTTAGCTGGCAATCGTCAATGGCAGTCAGCAGGGTTTAAGAACATCAGTTGTTCGACCTGTTAGTCTAATGCAATTTGTTAAAATATACTTTTCACTTTTTTGGTCTTTTGGAAAATGTTGTTTGTGCTGTATTTAGACCCCTCTACCAAGAAATTTGTTTTACATGCACACGTATAAATCTTACGGTTTTTATCCAACGCAATCACAGGTTTGAACGTTGTTTTCAATTTAGACTAGTTTATATTTTTTCGTTTGGGCTTGTATTATATTTTTCTTTGGGTTTATATGATCCGTTAATCCTATTTCGACTCTTTAAAATTCAAGAGTCTATCCTAAATTGAGGTAAATTATATGGCCTTCCAAATACCGTTTCGATCCCTAATATCACTGAGGAGACATTAATTGTCGAAATCCGGATATGGTGTACAAAAACC